TTTTGGTTTCATTCTGTTTGGTTGACCTCATTTTATTGGGCCCTGGATTTTCCTTTGTTGGATATGCTTTTTGTATTTTGATGATTTTTCGATTTTTCAGTAAAGTTTTTGGTTAGTAACTAATTCTGTGCCCCTGAGTCTGCTTGCTGGTCCCTCACAGTGATCTTGAGGATGATGCCAATAGATCAGTTTTCAAGGCAAAAATGTTAATATACAGTCTAACTTTTCATGTGTGGATCTGTCCTTCGGCCCAGCTTCAATAACCAGTTGATCCAGTTAGCGCCCCAGTGATTTGGACTTGCTACACTAGTCTGCTCATGTTTTTATTGACGCGGCGTTTCCCTCATCTTTCGAAAGAAGCATCATTTACATGGACTGGTAGAGTTGGTTATGCTGGTTATGACACCTATTTTTGTCTCCCTTAGCGACCATCCCCACCGTGGATGACTGCGTGCTCACCTCTCCGCCCTTAGTCAGAGTGGTGTTTGCTGCTAAGCAGATAGATCCTGATATCCAGGCTGAAACGATACATGACTCCATCAGCTTTTTAAGTCCCTCTTCAGTGAGCGAAGAAGTGGAGATAGAGACTGTGATGGAGAGCACTGATTATGCTGAGGTGGAACTGAGAACCAGTGCGGACCAAGATGAAAATGGAGCCGGGGGCGTAGATACTGGTACAGAAGAGGGGGCAGAAGATGGAGATGGTCATAGTGAGCAAGATCAAAATATCAGTCGGAGAGGAGGAAATGGAGCAGTTCACTGTCCCCAGATAAGCTGTAGCTTGAGCTTGGGTCCCTCAGAGCTGAAGAAAGAGGAAAAAGCCATGGGGGAGCTGGCAGAGTCGCTAGAGGATAGGTAAGAGACAGCAGACACATTGAGGCTCTGGAGGACCTCGGCATGGCGCTGTGGCATTGAGACACCCTGCATCTGTGTGCTTTTATTTTCAGGATCAGCACTGAGCCCTCAAGTGAATCAGCTTTGAATCTGCAGATGAAACAGAAAACAGGTGAGGGGAAACCCTGCTAGCCCCCCATAGGTTATCTCTTACTTCACCACTGTATCTACACACTCTCAGCAGAATACTGGCAGTGGTGGAATTTCCTCATTAATCCCTGACTCTGAGTCCAAGTGAGGCCCCTGTATTCTTGGATTATTACTTCTTTGGTAAAATAGTCACATTAGGGTTTCCACACATGTCCACAAACCCCCGTTGAGGTTAAATGTAGCTGTTTGCCATCCAAATATCAAAGGCAGGTTGCATTTCTGGCTAGCTTAATTCCGCTGAGTTTGCAGAGGGATGGATTTGTTTCTTTCGACGTAAATGTATATTTGAATTTAAATCTATACTCTTTAAACCAAAGGTGGGCAGTCTTATCCAGAAAGGGCCATTGTATATGCAGGTTTTCGCTGGAACATCCTAATTAGTTTACTAATTATAGGACTGATTGGTTGAAGAGCCCTTACACCTGGGTTTCAACAAAAACCTGCATACACACCGGCCCTTTCATACATACACATCCAATCTTTGATAAGATTGCCCACTGCTGCTTTCAAAAGTTGAAACAATTCAAGAAATTACAGATGTTTCACTTAACAGCAGTAGAAAGCTGTCTTCTCAAGGGTCTGGTCTGGCCTTTTAAGAGATTATGGTTTCTCTCTTGTCCAGCAGATGGCACTGTGGAGCTCTCATCAGTGGTCTTTGCGTGTGCCATGTGCCCTTTCGTCCACGCCAAGGAAATGCACCTGCATCGGCACATTGAAAGAGAGCACCCAGAGGAATATGACAAACTCCTGAGGTCTGAAGACCCTAAAGCCAAGACCCAGGAAGCAGAGAGCCCCCAGGATGTTCAGGGTCCCACACAGACCCGCACAGGGACCTCCAAGTCCCACACCTGCCCCCAGTGCGGGAAGAACTTCCGGTCACGCTCAGACCTCGCCCGGCACCAGCAGATCCACACGGGTGAGCGGCCGTTTCCCTGCGGCCAGTGTGAGAAGAGTTTCAAGAACTCATGGGACAGAGCGAGGCATGAGCGCACACACACGGGTGAGCGACCCTTCCAGTGCTCCCAGTGTGGGAAGAGCTTCACGCAGCTGGGCTTCCTGAGTCTGCACCGTAAGCGCTCTCACAGGGGTGACTGCCCACACCGCTGCTCGCTCTGTGCCAAGGACTTCGCCTCCCCATCAGAGCTGGCCAGGCATAAGCAGACACACGCCATCCGGAGGCAGTACCGGTGCTCGCAGTGCGAGAAGGGTTACACGCGCTTGTCGGACCTGAAGCGGCACCAGCTGAACCACAGCGGCGAGCGTCCGCACCGCTGTGCTGAGTGCGACAAGAGCTTCACCCAGCTGTGGATCCTAGCTAAGCACAAGCGCACCCACACAGGCGAGCGGCCCTTCCTCTGCCCCCACTGCCAGAAGAGCTTCACCCAACTCTCCATCCTCATCCGGCACCAGCGCATCCACACTGGGGAGAGGCCATACCGCTGCTCCCAGTGTGACAAAACCTTCCTCTCCTCAGGTGAGCTCTCAAAGCACCACAAGTGTCACACGGAAGACCGGCCATACCTCTGCAGCGAGTGCGGCAAGAGCTTTAAGACAAAGCGCACCCTGAACGAGCACTGGCGGACACACACCGGCGAGCGGCCCTACTGCTGCTCCCACTGTTCCAAGTGCTTCGCCAAGTCCACCGCCCTGTCCCGGCACCAGCTCATCCACACAGGTCAGAGGCCGTATGTGTGCTCCCAGTGTGGGAAGACCTTCCTGTCTTCCAGAGAGCTTCTATTACACCACCGCTCCCACACGGGCGAGCGGCCCTACAGCTGCCCCCGGTGCGAGAAAAGCTTCAGGTCTTCCTCAGACCTGACCCGGCACCAGCGGAGTCACACGAGGGAGCGTCCGTACACCTGTGCCCACTGCAGGAAGACGTTCTCCTGCTCAACCAAGCTGAAAAGACACATGGAGGTCCACAGTGCAGACAGGCCATTTCAGTGCTTGGAGTGTGGGGTGGGATTTAATCGGCTGTGTCTTCTGAAGACACACCAGCGAACTCACATGGAAAAGAGCTGAGCTGTTGCTCCAGGCTTCTCTTACTGTGTGTGTGTGTGTGTGTGTGTGTGTGTGTGTGTGTGTGTGTGTGTGTGTGTGTGAGAGAGAATGTATGTGTGTATGAGTGTTTTAAATAACAACATTCTGCCACATCTGAAATTTATTCTATATTACATGGACAAAGTAAAAGACTATAAACATTGTTAAAGGTAATCAGATTGCATAAAACAATATTGTACATTTGTAGTCATTAGTCATTAGCCAGGTGAGATCAACGTAATAAAATCGAATTGATATGTTCCCTTATATGAGTGATTGTTCCCTAATTCCTTGGTTAGCATTTAATCTTTTTTTTCCCCCACAGAATGTTTTTTTTTGCTACTTCGAAGGCAAGGTATAAACTGAGTGAATAAGTGTAAATGTTAATACAAAATATGGCATAACGTAATCCATTCTCACTTTTTATAATGCTGATAAAGTTGCATAATCATAAATTAAGACTCACAGAAAATAATTTCTACTAATTTGTGTGCAGAGGTTCTGATTGAAGTTGAAAGTTTGATCACAATAGGTTTTTGTATTTTGACAGCTGTTAGAAAGCGTGACTGTTTTAAGACTCGTTACAGTCATGATTGTAAATTCCTGTTTTGTACATGGCATGGCTCGGTAATGATTTTTTTCCCCCCAAAACTTCTGGACCATCTTTGACTCATGCTAGTGTTTGATGATGATGGAGGAGATGATGATTTGAGGCTCAGGCTCGTGTCGATGTCACCCTGGTGATCCGATATCAATACTTTCAAAGCAGACACTGCGGTTGTCCTCTTGCGGGGTGTAGCCGAAAGAGTAACTACTGTCACAACCCTCAAGTGCTCCTCCAATACAGCAGCAGCATCGGTGCTTGAAAAATAAACACCAGGGAAATTAATTTTTGTACTGTGTGTGTGTGTGTGTGTGTGTGTCCAGTGGCTTCAGTGTTGGCGTGTGAGATTTTCCGCTTCCCAATAGACATGTCTTTTTCAATATAAGTAATAGATACTACGGCATCTCACAATTTTAGTACATTGTTCCAGTGCTACACAAACACAATGTATTTCAAATTTAATGAATAAAATATGTACTGCACTGTACAGCTACAAATTCAAGTGTATGATGCCCTTATATTGGACAGATTTTGAACAGTGACTCCTGAAGTTAATCCTTACTCCACTTGAGGGCGCCAAAAGGTTTACCCATTGACTGGGATTAAGAGGTATGTAAGATATAGGTAATTGTGACTAAACTAGTGAAATCTGTATTGTATCTTTTTAAAAAAAAAAAAAAGTTAAGAGAAATACAGCGGGGAAAATAAGTATTGAATGCGTCAACATTTTTCTCAGTAAATATATTTCTAAAGGATCTATTGACATGAAATTTACACCAGATGTCGGTAACAACCCAAGTAATCCACACATACAAAGAAATCAAAACAAATAATTTATTTTCCCCGTTGTATGTCTTTTAACTTGTCCAATCTGAATGACATGACAGACAGTATAATTCTCTGCATGAGTCTCACCTGAAATATTCTTACAGCCTTTAGTCTGATAATCCAAAAGGCTGAGCTTTCTTTTACATACTGGGAAGGTTCCACATACAGATAACACTTACAGCAACGAAATATTTCAATTTGATTTCTTAAAAATCATGTGTGTGATTCACTCAAGCAATCAAACCCATAATATTGGAAAGAAATTTGAGAAGACTATTCAAGAAGGTAGCTGTTACAAACCAAAATGTCTACCAGCTGGCCTGATTCCCCATTCAGTGTAAACCATCTGCTGTGACTTTCAGGACACAATGGAGACCTTATTGCTCCATAACTGAAGAAGCAGCCAACATCAGCCTGTTGGAAAGGATGCTGGAGGATCTGGCTCCTGTGGGAACAAGGCCTCACTAAGGGGAATGAGGCCCTCCCCAGTGGTGCACCAGCCAAAGCATGGTGGACATCCAGAGCATCCATGCAAAGACATGTAGTTAGACTGGCCATGCAGTTAGTTATTTGCCTGCAGTATGTGCCCTGTGATGGACATCAAAATGCCAAGCATCTGGCTTTGTTAAGAACAGCTATTAATATTTTTACAACATGTAAGGCACCTGCTGTGATGGCTTTCAGGCTCACTGTCACCCTGTGCTGCATAAAGAATTACAGGGAATTGCAGAAGATGAACCATTTGGAGGGGTTTTTACCATAATAATATTCTGCCTTGTTCTAATATTCAAATTATCTATTCCCTGTACAGATGCTTGTAAAGCATATGTAACATTCAGTTCATAGGATAAATCTAGCCTTTAAAAAGATGCATAGGCTTTTAATATGAAATCAAGGGTAAATGGTAATATGAAAAACGTCATCAACTAGCGTCTTTACGGGATGCTTTCAAGGTTCAAAATAAACCCTATTATCATTTGTTACGTTGCTGGCCAAAAATCTACAGCGATCTGCAACAAATTTAACATTAGACAAAGATAATACTGGCGTGTAGATGCAATATATATATTTATGTGCCGCTACAAACATGCTATCGTTACAATATGAGTAGCAAAAACCACAACTGTTGTCTTCTTATTTGAACAGACTACAATAGATGTCTTGATTATATTATTTTTCTTGATGTACTAATTCTAGGAGCATGTGGAAATTTCGCAAAATTGTTGTACTCAATGGCTGAAAGTTATACTTATTTATCTTATAAACAGAATAAAAGGCTGAAGATAGCACGACTAAAAGCTTTGCTCCGGATGCCGCGTCTTCTTAATAATTTCTCATTTCCATCTCTCAAGCAGATCCCCAACTTCCTTTGGCCGGGTTGTGCCTCCTGGTTGCAACTTGCAACTCTGCGATCATGCCTCATGTCCGCTGCCATATGCCCGGCGGCACACAGAAAAACCGTAACGGACTACGGCAACCTGGAGGCCATCGTCGCTTCGGCGCCGGACACTCCAACAGGAAAAGGGCGGAACTCCGTCTTGGACTGTGAGTGAGTGAGATGGCAAATGAAAGTATGGGGAAGGAGAGAGAGGTACTATGGGCCGGTGTGGGCAATGTGCTTCAGAGCCCAGTTTGTTTGCATTGTGTATGATTCGGGAGTTCTGTCATGGCCTGGGAACAGCCAATCATGATTCTATACAGTCACAGCTAGACACGATTCGGTCCCCTGCTGCACGTCACCCAAACCCTGAGTTTGTTTATTTTTATGTGAGGCCAGTTATGACCTGTTAAGTTTCCCCCTGTTGTTGTTGATTCCAGATATGAATAAATGTCAGTGGGCCAAATAAGAAATTCAAAATATAATGGTTCCAAGCCACTTTTATTGGCTGCTAATTTCAGCAGTTAAATGCTGTATTATCATATCAGGCCATTTAAGGCTCATGTTCCTTAACTGTTGGGCTTCTTTATTTGATACTGTTCATCAATTTTTGGTGATTAAATATTCTTTAGATAACTGAATTTACTTTTTCTCTGTTTGCCTAAATGTATGCCTTTAGACTGCAGGAGTAAATAGTTAGAAGATGTATGTATGTATGGCTATGTGTACCTGTGACTCCTTGACACCAGTATGGTATCATGCAACAGACAATGCTGATTTGGAGGAATCGGGAGGAACCCTGCTGATGGACCCAGCAGAGAGGGATCACTTCTTCCAGGTGAGCTGACTCCCTGTACCTGGCAGCACTCTCTCCCTCTCCCTGTCCTTCATTTCTACTAGCTTCATTTCAGGTTTTCCATCAAGACCATAATATATGTCAAGTCTAGTAAATAAGAGAACAGAGAGTGACCTTCAGCTCTTTTTTTAGACTGTGTCTTGGCTTAGTACTGCCCCCTCAGTCATAGAGGAGTGTATTCAGTCTATCTCACACCCAGACTGCTCCTACAATGCTACAAAAACTATGGACATCTGGGGCTTGTTTATGAAAGCAGTATTTCTTGCTCAGCTGGATAACTTGTCGGGTTTAAGGTACCCCGGTTGAAAAAGGACTTTATCTTTGTTCACTTACATTTAGTCCAGACTACCTTAAATCAAAAAGTTATCTGCTAGGCAAAAAATCCTGCTTTCTGAAACGGGCCGCTGGACACACATGGGAGATTTATCTAGAACAGTGGTTTTAAAACTTCGATACGTTTACCAATGGTGTCACGCGAGCTCCCTCTAGTGGTACGCAGATTTATCTCTGTATTTAAACGTTGGTCATAATAGTGGAAAGCAGAGAACCACTGATGTAGAGGAAATATATAAATATTATATAAAGAATTAGATACATTAAATATAACGATAAATCTGTACCATTGATTATTTCTTGTTTTGCAAGTTATTGGCTAGTCATATATAAGTAACAAAATTTTATGAAAATGATATTTTCATATGGAATTATTTAAAATTATTTTTTAAAAATCATGAAACGGGGCAACACAGACTGCTGTCCAGGATCCATGCAGAAACCTGCGCCTTCCAGACACAACCCGCCAAATGGAGAGACCGTGATGGACCATGTGAGCTGCGTGAGGATGGAGGTGAGGTTAGGTGTGGAAGAAGGTGGAGGTCATGAGGCAAGCAGGGGGGAGAGGAGCATCCAGAATGATACAGCATACATAAGGAGGTGAGGGAGCCATTGAAGGAGAGGAAATGTGAACGAAAAGGTGGTGAGAAGTACAGTAAATAAAGAATGACAAAGGACTGTGGAATGGCGGAAAGTCCAAGCGCGGTTGGTGAGAAGTAGAGCGGCCTGCAGCATTAATAGTTTAATGCAGGTTTATATCCTCTGTAGGTCTTTGTCTTCCTTTTTCCCTGACTTTGAATTATTCTGTGTAAATGATGTAGGAATGTATTGCAACACATCCATACATCCATATAAAGTGTGTTGGGACAACTTTCTTGTGAAAGGCACTATGTACAAATGAATTTAATTGAATTTTGTGACTTTCTTGTCTGGCTTTGGTTAATGTCTCATGTTTTCTTGTTTTCCATTTTCTGCTTCATTTATTTAGTTATTTACTTATTTCATAATTTTATTGTCTGCTTGTTTTTTGTCTATTTCATTATGTTCTCCTTTTCATTCGCTCAGGTCAGGACATGACATTGAGATCCTCCCTGTGGTCCACATGGGGAAAGACCACCTTCATTGTCACATTGAGACCAATCACCCAGAGGAGTACGACTGACTCCTTGGGTCAGTGGAAAGCAGGCCTATGGCCTCACAGACGACCAGTGGCCTGGCTCAGTCGGACCATCCTTCAGCTCCAGTGGCCCACACATGTGCTCAGCGTGACAAAGCACCAGCAAAATGAAGAGCTTCAAAACCACATTGGACCTGAAAAGACACAAGTGGAGCCTCACATCACCGCGGCAGTGCTTGGGGGGGTCTCAGAGGTTTTGATGGATGGAATGATTGATAGGCACTGCCGCATGGCAAAAGCGCAGACCAGGTGCACATAGTATGGCAAGATCTTCCCTCAATCCTCAGATGTAGAAGACACCAGAAAACTCACACTGGCGAGTGCCTCCACCAGTACTCAGTGTGGAAAACACTTCAGGTCGGTACCGGAAGTAATGAGACACCAGTGATTCACATCCAGGGAGAGACCATACCATCGTGCCTACTGTAGGAGAGCTTACTCGCTTGCCAGTCCTCAACAGATACAAGCGGATTCATACGGGGGAGAGACCGTACCCCTTTTCTCAGTGTGGGAAGAGGTTCCTTTCATTAGGGAAGGGAGGAGACACCATACTTTTGCTCACAACGTGGGAAGTATTTTAAGAGAGGATACCCTGAGAGAACATTTGCAGATACTCACCGGTGAATGACTGTGCCACTGCTCCCACTCCAGAAAGAGATTTGTTAACATAATAACCTTGACAAGACACCAACTAATACACACAGGGGAGAGACCATCCCTCTGTTGTTGTGAGAAGAGTTTTCCGTTTTTTGCGGAACTGTTAGTTTACTAATGGTATCACACAGGGGAATGTCCATATTGCTGCCCGCTTCACACGTGCTATCTGACTGTATGCCAGCGAACTCAGGGAGTGGCCTTAAAACTGCTAGGACTGTAAAATAGTGTTGTAGTTCTCGAGACCGGTCTTGGTCTCGAGACC